TTTTTTCGAACCTTGGGTAATTTACACTGTCTTTTAGTAGCTGGAGAATGATAGCCAGTCCTTACAATCTGATTTTCCAGTTGAAATATGCATTATGGCTCTGACACACCTCCCCCCCCCACCAAAAAAAATAATCACAAATATCTGTGTGATCTCATGAAATCAGTTCATTAGCTATAAAAGAGATCACAACCTATATTGTTGCCATGGTTCTGGCAATTCTATGGATGTTAGGAATCATGGTAAAATGATGTCACAACCAAATGGAACCCTTGGAATACCTTCTCCATTACTAGCCTCACTAGGGCAGCCTCCATATGGAATGACATTAGGATGTGGTTGCTTGGTAACCACATAGAGTCGCCTCCACGGCTGGATGCCATTTTCCAAGGCAGTCTTTACTGGGGCATATGAAAAAGATGGGACGGGTTGTGGCCTCTGTTACCCTTCTTTTCTTCCTTGGAATTTTACTGGAGCCTCTTAGGTGGTTGGATGCAGCGATACAGCCGTGCCCAGCCTCATGCCATTGTACATTAAAAATCCTCAACTGCAGCAGGACTACCAATTCTCATGTTCTCAACCATGTGCCTGTTCCAGAGCCATCTGCTCATCCCTATGTTTTTGTCATGCTGTGAGTATTTAAGTTTTGGTGGCAACTATCACACCTATAATTGAGAAGGGAAGTCCACTTTAAGGGAGGAAAAATTTTGTTACAAGTAAGGGGAAGATAAGGCATAATATTCTCAGGTACAATAAGCATAAAGGTGAAGGGTTGTACATCCTGAAATGTACAGGTCTTATTCATAATGCTTTGGATATTGTGACTTCTTTTGTTTTGGCAGCCAGTTTGGTGAAGCTAGCCACTGGTTTGTAAACTACATTTTACGATTTGATTGTTGTGAAATCAGCTAAGTATTTTTTTTTCATATTTCAACTTGACTTGTGCAATGTGTGTGTCAGCGTTCCAAATATCATTCAGAATTAAATCAGAGTTCAAGGCATAGTTTTGATCAAAATTTCAATTTAATAAGCGAGACATGTTGGTACATCTGTGGAAAACCTAAATCTGAAAGCTTCCTGGGGTTCCCACCCAGTTGAAAGTTCATGATCTTGTCCCCACACCCACAAGTCTATCACATGGTCCAATCTTCCTCTGCCACGCTGGCATTTTCACCCATCTAGTTCTGGTCAGGTGCAGAGATGCGGAGACAAAGAATGACCTTGGGCTTCTAGAAAGGAATGTTTTATTTTGACAACAAAACATTCTACAATTCTACTCCTTACTATTCCCCCTCCCAATTACCCCACCAATGAAACAGCATAGCAAAGAAAGAGAGTGTGTGTGTGGCAGGCCAAAGATCCTAAAAGAATTATGACTGCAGACCTGACAGGGTATACCAAATCATAGATAATCTGTAAACATTGCATAATTGTACGTGAAGTTTCTGTTTCTAATTTATATGCTGTTTCTTCTGAGGATGATTCTGTAGTATTGCAGGCTAATTCTGCCCGTAGTCTGGAGTTCAATCCTGATGGGCTCAAGGTTGACTCAGCCTTCCATACTTCCGAGTCTGGTAAAATGAGGACCCAGATAGTTGGGGGCAATATATTGACATTATAAAACCAGAGAATGCTGTGTAGCATTATGAGGGGGTATATAAGTCTTAAGTTCTACTACCCCTCTTCCTCCACTATTTCTCCCTCTTTTTTCAAGCCTTGGTGATTTGCAGAATGATAGTCAGGCCTTACAACCTGATTTCCAGTTGAAATATACAATATTCCCCATTTATGGCTTTGACCCCCCCAAAAAATAATCACAAATATCTGTGTGATCTCATGAAATCAGTTCATTCTCTATAAAAGAGACACAATCTGTATTGTTGCCATGGTTCTGGCAATTCTATGAGGTCAAGAATCATGATAAAATGATGTCATAACCATGTGCCCGTTCCGGAGCCATTTAGTCATCCCTATTTTTTTAGGGATCCACATTGCATAATGTGGAGTTTATTTTTTATGGCCCTTCCTTGTTATGTTATGTAAACTTAATCATAGTAGCTGCTAACCTTCAGATCATGTATTAGATATGAACTGTCTGGTTTAATGTCTATTGAGATTCTGTACATTTGAATTGTATATATTCTCTTATATTCATTTTTTCCATCCAGGGATTTTACTGGAAACACAATTTCTTCCATTAACAAACATGTGTGGTGGGCCTATCCTTGGACGGAATACTTGTGAGTATACTCTCATGTTTATACTACGTAACTAACGTGGCAGGAATATCCATTTTCATTGTTAGCTCTTGATAGTCATGCATCACAAGTGTCTCACTGCTGCACCTGGACTAGAGAAATGGACGGTCTGGTGTACCTCTTCCATCACCGGCTGTGATTTTGTGTGTATGTTCTAAATTTTCTTCCATCTCTTTAGGATCCTCAAGAACAATCACTTGAGCAGACTGGATAACATGTCTCTAGATGGCTTGCTTCCACTCACACACCTGTAAGTTTCCATCCCTAGCCATGTATTACTTGCTATTTCCTGAAGGACTGTCCCACATTTAAATTGAGTGAAACTCCTAATGATCAAGTTTCTAACAAGCAGAGCATGCAGTTTTAAAGCTTAGACTTTATTCCTATGATTTCTCTGGGCTTGGGTCTTCCCTATTGAAGGAGTGATTAGCTGCCTTCCATTTGAAGCTGTATTCCTGGCTTTCCTTTGAAATGATTATCTCATCTGGTTTCCTGACACTGAAATTGCTCGGTAGAGGGCTGGCATTCCGAGATAAAGAAACCAAAAGGCAGAAGTGTTGGGATGTCCTCCCTGCACAGAAACATGGAAGAAAACTGGACTTATTAAAATTATTATTATTATTGTGCAGAGGGTAAATCAGTGTGGCTTCAGGCATTGATCAAAGAAGGCAGCATGAGAAAAAACACTGAGTTGACCAGTGAATTGAAGTTGTTTGGGTGAGAAGTCTGTGTTCAGTTCAACAACTAATCAAACCAGGCCAACACTGGTTAGCAATATACAATTTGTATAATCTTATATACCTACAACTATGATGTCCTGATGTTGAAAATAGTCAAAACAGTCAAAATCAGCCTCCAACTAACAGAATCCGGAAGGCTGACAAGTTAAAAGATTTGGTAGTTCTAGAATTAGCCTCAGCCTTCTAGCAAAGTTAATTTGAACTGGGTCCGCATCTGCCAGTACCGGATATGCTTTGAAAGACTGATTATTCAGTCAAGCTCTCTTGTAGGAAATGTAACATTGAGACTGCTTTGCAATAGCTTCACTCCTTGCTGCAAAGACCACATATGAATTTGTGGGAAATAACAGTCCATTAGCACTAGCTCTCTTGGAGTTTGCTCCTCTCATAAGAACACTTTTTTCAGGAATGGTGGGAGGGGGGGCTTGTGGACTATACCCTGTTGGGGAGTTTAAAAGGATAGTAGCCATCTTGCCTTATATGTGACACAGTGCCTGGAAGGGGAAGACAGGCATTTCATCTACTTCACATCATGAAGGGATCTGAGGATACTAAGAGCATCTTATTTTCTTTTGACCCCAAAAATATGCGCTTGGTCTTATTTTTGGGAAGGTCTTATTATTTTTGAGGTGCAGGAGGTGGGGAGGGTGGTCACTTAATGGCTGCTGCAATATTTTTTGGGGAGGGCTTATTTTAGTGCATGGGCTCAAAAGCCCGATTGGGCTTATTATCCAGGGAGGTCTTATTTTCAAGGAAACAGGGTACACATGAGTCCAAAGATCTCATGGTCTTCTTAAGATTCTGCATTCTAACCACTGCGCCACTGCAGCTCTTAGTACCAATGAGAAGGGGTTAGGGCCAGGGGGGGTAGGTTTGGGGGGCAAGTAGAAATGTGGTGGTGGTAATGGGCAGCGAGAGATAGAGTTGGAGGTGGAGAGTGGCTGTTCACAGAATATGCAGTCTCAATGTACTGTTTTGGTTTTGCGTCCTGATTCCCTGTGCTGGTTCCAATTTCCTTAGGCTTTGGACTCTAGCTGGTGCTTTTGAATTACATTGTTTTTTTTTTTAATAAATCCCTAACCTTAATTTTAGATTTAATCCTTGGGCAGCTAGCTTGCTGTGCATCACTGAGACCTGACTGAGCCTGAAGAAAGAGTATGGCACCAAAGCTATGTTAGCAGAATTGTTATGTTTGGGTGGGAGTTGAGAATGGATAGATAGCTGGGTATGAGGCCTTGTGAAATCAGAGATTAGGTGAGATTGCTGGTTGGCACTGGAGTTCCCCAATTTTATACTTCTGGGGGATTTCATCATGCTTATTTGCTGAGGCAAGAAAGTTTTACGCCACCACAATTACAAGATTCTTGGTGACCAGCAAGATAGAAAAATACAACAAACAGTAAAAAAAAAGTAGATAAAATGAAAACAAATATATGCCATCAGTCCTCAAAATAAATGTGCTTATCTTCAATCTTTTACTAAAAGCAGCAGTGTGAGAGACAGACAAATCTGCAAAGTTTTAGGACAGCCTTCTCCTTTCAGATAGGCTGTTTATACTACACCTTTATTATTTTTTATTAATAAATCGAGACAGTAAATACATAATATACTCCTTCCTCCTCCTATTTTCCCTAAAACAACAACCTTGTGAGGTGAGTTTGGCTAAGAGAGAGAATGTGATCCAGAGAGAATGTGGTTCAAAGTCACCCAGACAGCTTTCATGCCTAAGGTGGACCTGGAACTCACAGTCTCCTGAACAATGGCACAAGGAGACTTGTGGGGTGTGAAGTGCTGTGCCGATCTTATCCACGCACCACATATTGGCTTGTTATATTTTATTAAAGCTACATATTGCAGGCTAGCAAATAAATAAAGCAACTGAGAGGTGAAGATAGAACAGGCATTTTATTCCAGGTGTCATATGATGTGTGTGCTCTTTTAAACAGGGATGTCTCATATAATCAAATACAGATCATTGACAAAAACGCATTTGAACCTGTTCCACTTCTGCAGTCTATGTAAGTCTTTAAGCCAAACCTCCCAAAACCCCGGTTTAAACCATAGTGGAAATAGGGGAAGGAGGCAAACTGAAATCAAATGGCAATTAATCTTCCCAGCTGTAAGTGTGTCAATGACTTATTACTGAATGGTTGATGTACCCCAAACTATTTTTAAAATGGGGAGGGGGAGTTTGGACTCAAGAATAAAGGAGGCAGATCTCTCTAGAGAGCTTGATCCAGGAAAGACAATATGAATTTTGCATTTTCTAAGAAGTCCTGTATGAGTTCAGACGGAACTCTGAGTGGATCAAGATTCAGCTCTAGGTTTGATTGTCAGGACCAGACTTGAGTCTTCATAAGTAGGAACACTGCAAAGTGTTTTTATGGAGTTACAAGGGCTTGCTATAAACTTGGAATCTCTAGAGTCAAAATTATATGGCTTGCAGAGGATTTCATTAGCCCTTTGAATCATGAGATCTGCCGTCCTATTAAGTAATGACAACTTAACTCTAAACATGCATTGAAGCTTCTAACTGAAGAACTAGTATGGTAATTGGAGAAAGCCTGGAGTGATTGTTCAGAAGATCAGAGCAGAGGTGGTATTCAGCAGGTTCTAACCAGTTCTGGAGTACCAGTACCAGTCATTTTGAGAACCGGTAAATATCACCTCTGACTGGCCCTGCCCCCATCTATTCTCTGCCTCCAGAGTCCCAGCTGATTGGGAGGGAATAGGGATTTTGCAGTAAACTTCCCCTGGAGTGTGGTGGCAATGGAGATTTTACAGTATCCTTTCCCTACCATGCTCACTAAGCCCAAGCCATGCCCACAGAACTGGTAGTAAAAAAATTGAATCCCTGTGTCAGAGTGGTAGTATACAGTTAGTTCATTGGAAAAGGAAGAAATTATCCTCACCCTGAATGTAATTCTCACATCCCTAGTCAATGAAGAAAAAACAGTTCTTTTGGTTCTGCTTTATTTTATCTATTGTTTATTTAATACAATGGAAGACATTCTAAGTAGCTCTCTTGCTTTCCTTTCCTTTCCAGCAATCTCAGTGGCAACCATATTTTGCAGATAACGCAAGGAGCTTTTCAGGCCTGGCACGGGATGCAGTTTCTATACAAGTTGTAAGTGAAACTCTTTCAGATAGTGGGTGAGATAGATGGCTTCTAACCAGAGGTGGGTTGCACCCGGTTTGGCCCGGTTCAGCCAAACTGGTAGTGGTGGCGGCAAGAGACTCCGCCCAGCCACCCAGACGCTTCTGTGCATGTGCAGAAGCATTGCACGCACAAGCACAAGTGAACCAGTAGTAAATCAGTTAGCAACACCACTGCTTCTAACAATTGGGGCACAAACTCTCGCCTAATGCTTGCAGGAGATCAAGAGGTTTTGTATGATGGTTTTCATTCCCAAACATTCCTGTTTTGAAGGAGAAGGAAAAGATATAGCCTCTGAGTAGGGACAGTCAACATTCTCTAAGTTGGTCTCCAGGACAGATGTCTTGATCTTCCACCAGGACATATCTGGGATATTTTCTTACCCTGCTTCCTTTGAGTAACAATAACAAGCATTTTGTGATGAATTCTTACTAATAGTGCCTTGAATCTCTGTGCCTTATATATTTATAAATATATAATAGATAAGTGAGATTTGAGGCACTATTAATATAGCAATGTTCCTTAAATTCATTGTTATTACAATATATTTAAGGCAAGTTACCTAAAATACAATGGTAGAGCTTTAAGGCAGCCCTTTGAGATACTAAGCACGAACAACTTAGAGAAAGAAGGAAAAATATCATATATTTTTAACTGTAGCTTTTACCAAAAAGGTAAATGCTATAGTAGAAATATTTGCAAATTTAACAGGAGAGCTGGTAAACTACACAATCCGAACCTCATTCTCAAAACTCTTGTGAGTAAAGAATCACTAAATTGGAAAGCATTCCATGAGAACTTAATCTCTCGAATTTAGGTAGCATAAATTTTATTGTTTAGTCTGTAAAATGTGAGAACAAGCATTTAATGGGATCATTTGGGGATAAATGATCCCAAAGAATAAGAATGTAGGGATGCCCTTAAGTTTACACAAGATCTTACACAACAAGTAGAGAACCGTGGCTTTGCTACATTTAACATACATGCAATCATACTGTCCTCAACAGAGATGCTCAGAAATGAGGGATTGATTAAAAAAAGAGGCAAAGTTCCTATTAGAAACTTTTGAATGAATTTGGTGGTAAGAGGGACCTGTTCTTTAATTGAATGGGAAAAAAACAGGGGAAGAATAGGACATCAGAAATATAGCATTTTATCTCGTGCAAAATAAGCCAGATAGATTCTTTACCATAAGAAGTAGCAACTATTACCTGGGGTAGTTCTAAAGGGAAATGGAGAAAAGATCCATCAAAGGCTACTAGTCTTGAACACTCAGGGAATGCTGCTAAGTGTAAGAGCATGCTCCTGCCACTTTTTTGACTGGAAATGAGAACTAAGTATGCCTGATAAATATAACAAAGTTGAATGCAGTGGAAATGAGTTACTTAAAAAGTATATTATTTCTTAAAAAGAAATCATAAGGTTCATAAGAATATTGATGATGAACAAATGTGTATTAAACACAAAAGTAATTAGCCAGTATGGAAGAGATGCAATTTGTTGAGATGGTTTAAACCAGTGGTCCCCAACCTTTTTATCGCCGCGGACCAGTCAGCCTTTGATAATTTTACCGTGGCCCGCTGAGNTTGGGGGCAATATGCTGACTCTGTAAACCGCTTAGAGAGGGCTGAAAGCCCTATGAAGCGGTATATAAGCCTAACTATTGCTATTGCTATTGCTGTGGGGAGAAATGGCAGAGGCAGCAGCAGAGAAAGTTCTCTTCCTGGACCCCACCAGTCAAAATTGTTTAACTGATCAGATCCATAACATATCCTCCCTGCCTGGCTGAGTCGGATGGGCCAATGCAATAGGGCAAAGACACTTGCAGGTAATCTGACCCCATGTCATGTGTAGGTCATAACCAAACTATGAATTGGACCTGAAAACAAATTGGCACCCAATGCAACTCACCCAATAGGGGTGTTGCAAGCTCTTGGGGATACCCAAGATTACTCACACAGCCATATTTTGTGACCAGCTGGTACTTCCAGATACTTTTCAAGGAAAGTCCCCATATAGAGTATTCAATAGTCCAAACATGTGAATGACCAAGCAAAGAGCCTCCGGCATCTAATCCAGGAAAGAATATAACCTGCCCACAACACAAAGTTAAGCAAAGGCCCTTCTAGGCAAAATTGTCCCCTGCTCTTCAAGCAGGAGCCATGAGTCCAGGAAAACTCCCGGATTATACACCAGATCTGCCTGAGTTAGTGCAAGTCCATCCGAGACCAAAGATAATAAAGCCCCAGATAACAGAGCCCCTCCCCCCGATAGCCACATGGGTTCCTCCGATCACTATTGAAAAGATCTTACATTGTCTTTTTGGGTCTTGCCTTCTTGGAACCATTGGTCACCCAGTCCATCATTCTTAATTGCTCAGTCTAAGCGAAGTAGATGATGGGGTGTCATTAACTATGAGGGAGCTAAAGGTCTGGAATTCAGGGTGGTTCTTCCTTCTCCATTTTATGACTTGTGATAATGAGATATTATCTCTGATATCTTCCCATATTATTTTGCCTTGAATTAGCAGAAAACAGTAGATACATTTATGATTTAAAGGATTTATTTTTTTAATTTTAATCCAAAGATTATTTTAAGTGGTCCAATCTAATACCTTCTAGATAGCCTTTAGCTAGGATTGCTATGATCTGTGCTTTCAATCTAATGTGGAAAACACCATGTTTGGAAAGGCTGGTACAGTCCATACATCAAACCTGATCAATATAATGACCACATATTATCTGTGGCAAATTCTGCTTTCTCAGTTAGAACTCTACCGTGAGTAGCTATATGGTTCTAGTTTTCAAACAGATTGTCACCACAAACTCTTGTGTTAGGCCAAGCAAGCCGGTTTTTTAGCATCTTCCTTTGGAGTATAATATCACCTAATCATCCAAGCATCAAAGTGTTCTCCTGCACTGATTATTTAACATCCATTGTATAATTTGAAACATATCTTCTTAAGAGTAATTGAAACTAATCTTGGGTTAAATGGGTACCAGAGTGAACTGTAGGCCACATCTAATGCTAATTGAATAAACTGATTTATATCCAATTAACTCAGTTATCTGTTCCATTCATAGCATTTGCTACCAATGAAAGAAGAATCCTGATTTCTTTTTTCCTCCTCCTTTTTCTTCTCTCTGACCAGAGAAAGAAGAACTTTGGGGAACTATGGAAGATGAAGTAAAGAAAGTACTGAAAACTAGAAAATTAAATGCCACCAACATACTAAATATTGTCGCTGAAAAACCTGAACAACATAATGTCACGCTATCACTCATGGTGACTCACGGACGTACTCATTTAGGTATCCATTTTCATCAACACATACCAGATAATTTACAATCAGTCAATGGATTCATTCCTGATGAATACGTGGATGTGAAGTGGTCTGATAAAAAAGAGCTGGAGAAACTGTACAAGTTAACAAATTTGCTACAGGTGGCTCTCAAAGCAAAATTAGCAGAAAACGAAGGGGAGTCTCATGGGTTGGAGATCCAAAAGGAATTGCCTGTAGAAATTCCAGATTATGGCAACATCATCCTGAGCAGTAAAAGCCATTGGAAAAAATTAAAGAACCATCTGAAAAGGGTAAAAAGGGATCACTGGCTTGGAAAAAATCCAAGGGAAAAAGAGTTATTTTATAGGTTGTTCAGAAAAAGCTTAGAATTTGCAAATGCAACTAGAAAACTTGCAGGAGAACAAGGAAAACTTGTTTTGTATACCATGGCAGAAAGATGGGAGAAGCTAGTAAAGGAACTAAAGTTTCAGAAGTCTGTTTCCTTTATTAGGCTTCTTCTAGCAGCACTTCATTCCTTACAGAATCACTCCATTTCGAATCTTCCAACTAAACTGCCTCCCTTCACTGATTCTGTGGTAGTTGAGGATGGTGCTGAAGACTCAGAAACTTCGAACGAAGACTTGCCTGGTATAACACTGTCTCATGAGACACATTGGGAGCATCATGAACAAACCATCTCTGCTCTCCCTTTGCTTCCTCTTTTGAGAAACATTAACAATTGGCTTCAGGATGAACTCTATGAAGTTGAGTTAAACACATTGTTGGCATCTGTCTTCCCAAGGGAGTCTGAAATTCTTTTCAGGAAACTCTTTTACTGCCTGATCCATCTTGTCAATGTGAACTGCAGAGACCCCACTATCCAGATGGCTTGTGCTGAATTAATCTCTAGAATGGATCTCACGAAGGACTTCAGTGTGAAAAGCAGTCAGGAGACACCTGTTCTATTGAACTCCTACTTTTGGCCCACTGAGAATGTAAATGATATGATTATGGCAAACTCCAGAAAAATGGAGAAACCTTCTGATGAGGTAAAGGTTAGATAAGTAAATCTAGATACGTAGTCCCAACAAGTACACTATTAGGAGTTTTAAAAATCTCTGATTGCCTAGATGTGTCTTTCTTTTTTCCCAGGAGACCAAATTGGTGTATATTAATTGCACATGCATTTCTGTAAAGGCAATTACTGTTTTTAGATAAAATGCTTGTTGGGTTGTTAAAAGTAATGTGTATGGGCGAAGAACACTTCTCTGCCTGATTTCCATGTCTGCACTGAAGGGGAAAGCGACAGGTGCATATAAGTAAAGTTCTTACAAATGGTGATCTGTATCTTGGGAAAATGGTGTATAGCACAAAGCTAAAGTGAAAATAAAAGCAAAATGTGGTTCATCAGAATTAAATCAGGGATTTTCAGATATGATGATATGGTTTTAAGAAAACTAGATGTATAAGAACTGTTATTGGTTTTAAAAGGGAGATGGATCAAAATATACTTTTCTAGAGAAGGGAGCTTTTTTATGGATCAGAAGAACTGCAAGAGTTTGCAATATTTCTTTCATAAAGATGATAATTGACTATTAAAAAATGGATGCACTGAACAATGGCATAGTCAAATGTACCCTGTACTAAGATAACAGTGATGATAATGATAATAATATCTCATCGTCTCTGTCCTAATTTATCAACTGATTTTGAAATTTGACATAATATTTCAAAGGAACAGAATGAATATTATTAAAAATATCTTAATATTTTAATGCTAAATTTTGCAAAACGTTTTTAAATAGTAGATGAAATGAAACTTGGACAATAATAAGCATAATATCTATATTAAATAAGATTTGCTTTTATCATGATTTTTCCAATAAACCATACACAGTACTACACATACAGAAAGTAATCATCACTTGTTTTATCTATTTCCTGGCTACTTTTTATCAATATTTTACCCCTACACACATGGTATCTTCCATGTCTTAGCAGCAATAATATTTTCCCATCTATATTTATAGGACTACAGTTTGTCAGTGATTTATGAAGAGTTTGGTTATGTTTTGTAAACTTATCTTTTATAAAAATGTATGTCTTGCATGTTCAATGTAATTTAATAATTCCAAAGTGGATTTATTATGAGCATACATTTATAAGACTCTACCTATGGGGTTCCCCCACCCAATATAATAACATTTTTAAAATGAAATTGGTGTTTTGTGGGGCTAATAGATGGCTTGGCATATAGACTCCAGATTCTTCCATCTGTCCGGTATTTTAGATGACAAAAAAATTGCCAGGGAAAATTATAAGTCACTGTAGAGCGGGAGCAAGAGTTCTGAAACTTGCCTTTGTTTTACCATGAATTGATAAGGGCCTTGGGTATGCCAAATAATAAACCACTAATAAACCAAGATTCTATGTTCAAGATAATAAGTCATGATTAAAACATGTATTAGTAAGTGAACGTTAAATTATGAGTTTAGATTATAGTTGTTGCTAAAATTGTACAGGTGGGATGATATGGGCTAAGATATTCAAATTACCTTATTTTCAGCCTATAAGATGCACGTTTTTCCCCTCAAAAAAGAGGCTGAAAATCTGAATGCATCTTATACACTGAATACAGCATTTTTGGCCTCCTGAAACCCCGCCCCTTCACCAAAATGGCTGTGCATAGCCTTTAGGAGGCTTCCAGAGTGCTGCTAGAGGCTGGGAAGAGCAAAAATGAGCAAAAAACTCCTCCCCCCCGCCCCTGGGAGCACTCTATAATAAAGTGACCAGACATCCTGCTTTTGGTGGGACAGTCCCGATTTTTCATAATTTGTTCCGCATCCCGCAGCATTTTTAAAAAGTCCCGATTTTGGCTTCATGTGAAAGCGCAGTGGATTTGCTTAAGAAATCCTAACCGGGGCAANGGACCACTGGTTTAAACTGAGTGGGAACTGAAATGCAAAACAATACATGAAGAAAGAGGACTAAGAGAAAAGGAAAATATGACTGGATGGAATTGACGACGATCTCAAAAGAGAGAAAGGAAAAATGTAAAGGCAAAATATGGGATGGGCATAGAAACAAGGATACTTGCTTGTAGGTAAGGAAAATGTGTAGAGATAAAGTAAAAATGCTTATATAAACTGGATTTTTATTTCTTTTTTTCAGATCTGCCTTTAATTTCTTTTGCTTATTATTTCTTATTAGTAGGATTAGTAATGAATAATAAAGTTATTTAAGGTCAAAAGAAACTAAAAGAATACTTGAATAACTTGTTTATACACTACCTGAATTCTGTTTTATTGTGCCAAAATTGTGCCAAACTCATAGCCATCTCTTTTGTCCTTCAGGATTCTCAGCCATAACCCACTGAGAAAGATTGAGGATTCCCATTTCTACACATTGCCCTCCCTGAAATTCCTGTATGTATGAAGTTGCTCTTGGCTTTATTAAGGGTTTATTTACTCTGGGATGTATTCAGCTTTTATTTTCCTAATTTGGCTTGGGCTACTATATCTGAAGATCAATATGGTCCTTGGTCAGGGTCAGAATTACCTAGGTCCGGATTTTCTTACAGCCTTAGAATAGCATAACCATGGACCAGTCATTAGCTGTCAGCGCTTTAATATTGTCCAGATCAGGAAAAAGATCCCACAAGAAGACTAGAACTAGGCTTCATTGAGACGATGAGGTAATTGGCCTTGCGGTCTCAAGGAAAACTTGGTAACTGTAAATAAATCACAGGGTTATTTTTGTGAGGAGAAAACAAAATAGGCATGAATTATATGTGTATGTAAGGAAGAAGAAAAGGAGTAGGAAAGCTTTGTATATTTTGTATTTGCAGTTGTCACCATTTCATTACATTAATGATAGATTTTTAATCCTGGGTCCTGATCTCATACCTAAGCTGGAATTTATGAATGAATCCATGGCTCTACATGAAGTTGCTTTAATTCTACATTTGTTTTTTGTCAACACACAGCAAAGGGAATCATCTGCCCACTGGAAGACATTAGGGAAATGGATTTATAAAGCTATTTTTTAGAATAAGCATTGAAGCTCAAGCCTTGTTCAAAATCAACAATTAGTATTTTTTTATTTGGTGTGAACTTATCACAAGATCTATAGATTCCCCTACAACCAAAGCCTTGTGGGTTAGGATGGCTGAGAACGAGTGGCTGATCCAAAGTCACTGAGGGAGTTCAGACAATTAAGTGGAGATTGGAACTTTTCATGCCCACATTGTCAACTTAATCACTCTGACAACTCCTATGGAAATCAGTGCCAACAATTTCAGTGATGGGCTGTGATCATTTAATAGGAGAGAACATCTTCATGTGTATTTCAAACTCAGCTTGAGGGCTAAGCCATAGCAATTTTCCATTCCGGCTCTGCATGATGAAGAGTTGTGTACAGTAACGTTCAGCAGAAGCAATCCCTTCCCTACCTCCCTACAGCAGCTGGTCAAATCATTTGATTACTTTTAAATTACCACATTGTTATTTGTATCCTTTTCCTCAAGGAGCTCAGAGCAGTGAAACAGTAATAGATATTCATTTTATATTTGAGAAATCCAATCAGATAAACACTTAAATTGGTTATTGAATATGAAAAATAGCTAATAATGTGCATTGTGTTACCTCAGTGTACTAAATCGTAAACCTAGGCTAATCCAAAAAAAGAGCACGAAATAAGATTTAAAATAATTTAATTTTGCCTATTGTGTGACTGTAGATGCTAGGTCTTAACTTGGTTAACTATGTTGTAAGCCCAATCATAAACTAGGTCAAGGGATAACCAAAGAGACAAAGTCTCTCACTCAGCTCCATGAATTTATTTTCACTGGCTGTGTTCTGCAAATTGTCTATCTCTCCCTATATCTGGAAAAGTCGGCATGTCCTTTTTTTTTTTCAGGGACCTTGGTTCTACAAAAATAAGCATAGACATATTAGAGAATTTGCTCAAAATCTCCTTCAAGTTGAAAACTCTGTAAGTACCTCTGATCTTTTTCTGTAAATTCCAAGACAAAAATGGGAAGGGGCCATGTTTTCCTTTTCCCCCCCCCCCTTCTCTTCTTTTTTTCCTTCTCTCATACTTTTGAAAATGGCAATACAGATGTTGTCATTTCCTCATGGGGAGCATTTTACTAATATTAAAACTAGTAGCTCAAGCCACTATTAGTACATATTTCCCGATGAGAATGCTCAGTTGTTGCGGATGTTGCCTGAGCATATGGTGGTTGTCCCAGAACATTTTCAGCCCACAGTACATCTTAAAACAAGCCAGAGTTCCTCAGAACCTATAAACTAAAATTTATTAATGGAAACATCAAAACTGGCAGGTAAAAATGCCTTAGAAATAGTTTGTACCTTACTGTCAATCTTGCTCTTTTGTATATATACAATATGAACTGCAGGTAAGAGGGAGAGCAGGAACATCCAAGGAATGTTCCATTAATATGCAGCAGTGAACACTGATAAGTAGTTTAGGATTAAAAGTGCCTAAAATACTTTTAATACATGTTGACTTTGTGGCAAAGGTGTCTGGAGCAGGGATGGGTTCCAGCAGTCGCTATTGCCAATTGGCTCATTGTCTCGCCATGCGCGCATGCGCAGTGGAATAATAATTGCTTTGCACAAGCACCAAAGCAAAAAATAAGTTGGTGGTTCCTATGGTGCCGCCCGGAGAACCAGTTCGGGGGCGTGGCAGGGCTGGGTCACTGCCAGTTCCAGTGACCCAGGCCGCCAAACCACTACCAATTCAGCCCAACCAGTCTAGGAACCCATTACTGGACTGGAAGTCTGGAAAAGACTAGTTAATATAGAATGTAATCCCTGCGATCAAACCACAGTATGTCATAAATTTATAAAAATATAAAAATATAGAAAGCATAAACATCTGTCTCAGCCAAATAGCCTACAATAATATTGTCTATGGTAGCTTTCCCTAATTGGAGCCTCCCAGGTATTTAAATTTCATATCTGACTAGTTTATCAAGCAATTTTGAAGCTCACCAGGAGGGAGAAAGTTGGTATACTTTGTTGTGCATCTATCACATTGAATTATAAACAAGCCAGTCATATTTTAGCCTAGTATGTTACACTTCAGAACTGACTTATGAAGATTTTGAAGTGATCAATAGCTTGGCATTTTAAGATTAATTATCAACAATAAAGGAATTAGCCATCAAGAAATATACGATAGCCTAGCACCTGATAAGGAAGTAATGAAGAACGTGGAAAAGATGTTCAGATCCTTGATCTGTCAACATCTACAAAGATCAAGTGAAAGCTGGACTTTATAGAAATAATGTAGAAATAATATTGATATTTTTGAACTTTGATGTTGGAGAACACCCCTGAGAATATCACAGATAACCAAGAAAAGAAACAGATCTTAAAACAAATCAATCCAGAATTTTTTACTCAAGGCATGGCCAAGTCCATATTATCATATTTTGGACATATTATGTGAGGACCCAGCTCTCTTGAATGCTAGGAAATATGGAACAAAAGAAAGGGATGCTCAGCAGAAATATGAATAAACTAGATTGCAGTAGTGATTGATGTATTACTGGAAGACCTGAGAAGCCATATGGGAACAGATCATCCTGGATAAAGTCTTAGGATTTAGGATTTATTTTATTTGTATGCCGCCCTTCTCCGGGAGGGACTCAGGGCGGCGAACAACTCAAAAGGGGAACATAGAACACAATACAAGTAGTTAGTTGTCTATGTGTTGTCTATGTGGTTGGTAAGATTCGACGCCAACGACGATAATTAATGTTGTGAAAACACCATCTGTGTAATGCTTTATGAGTCACAGTGTCATGTGAGCCCAGAAATTAGATTTAATTAAATTAATTGTGACTCAGTTTACTATGAAAAATATGATGTGAGCATAACTGCTGATTGATACCTTGTTTTCCTGAAAATAAGACCTCCCCGAATAATAAGCCCAATCAGGCTTTTGAGCACATGAGCAAAAATAAGTCCTCCCATGAAAATAAGCCCTCCCCGAAAATATTGCAACACAGCAGCAGCTGTGAGGTGACCACACTCACCACCTCCTACACCTTAAAAATAATAAGACCTCCCCCAAAATAAGGCCAATTGTTTATTCTGAGGATCAAAAGAAAATAAGACCCTGCCTTATTTTGGGGGAAACACAGTAGTTTTAAAGTTTTAATGTTTTCCCAGTCCCACTTGAAATTATCAGGGATTGAACTGATGTATACTTTTGTTTTTACACACATTGCAATTTCATCCCTTTCTCCTTACCAATTCTAAACATTACGAAAAAGTTTTGTTTCTCTGTGGAATTTCTGTTTTCTGGCATGAAAATTTCAGCATACAGAGCATATACTTTAGCTAGAGGCAAAGGTTCTTTCTAATTAAAAAGACCTTGGGAAGTAGGGCTAAGACCTACTTGCCTGCTAAAGTTAGATAGCATTGATGTGTTAGATGTACCAAGAGTGAATATAAAGGTTTCCCTGTCCAGTTGAGTCTGACTGTAGGAAAGATGCTCATCTTGGTTTCTTAGCCGAGGGAGCTTTCCAGTTGACAATCTCAGCATATTAACTCCTGAGCAATTGTACTGCTTAAATGTACAAGGATCCGATAAAGCCAAATTCCAGCAAGATTCTACTATTGTACCTAAATTCTGAATTCAAGAAGAATCTGTAAGTTGTGGTACCAGCCTGCATAAATATCTGCAAAATTCTTGATACACAAGGCCTAAGAAACTTTCCCCTCAGTTCTTGTTTTCCTGCCTGCACAACTTAAATCTAATAATGAGTCCCTTTTCCTGATGGCTCTCTGCTTCATCCTCTTTACTGTCTAATGCTGCATAGAAATATAATATCCAACTAGTAGTCAGATAGATATTCTTATACATGCTGGAGAGCAATTATCACCATAGTTTGTTATCTGTATCTTAACTCCTTATTACTTCAACCCAGTTCTGAGCCACATGGACAGAGAGAGAGCTTTCCTTGTGATTGTTCTAAACAATGTTCCCTCTAAGGTGCGTGGGTGTGCGGCCGCGCACGGGGCAACAAAACACTGTGCAGCAGTTTCCAACTGCCACGCAGTGATTTTTGTGAGATCCCTTCCACGATAATAGGAGAGGAGAGCCAGCCTGGAGACAGCAATCA